TTTGAATTTATTTCAATTTTGTAGACGTTGATTTTTCAAAAATCAATTTTCTTTAAACACAAACTAAAGGCATCTCTTTGATGACTATGATATTTGAATTCATTTCAACATGGTAGACGTTGATTTTTCAGAAACCAATTTTCTTTAAACACAAACTAACTGCACCTCTTTGATGACTACGATATTTGAATTCATTTCAACCTTGTGGACGTTGATTTTTCACAAATCAAGTTTCTTTAAACACAAACTAAATGGACCTCTTCGATGACTATGATATTTGAATTCATTTCAACATTGTAGACGTCCATTTTTAAAAAATCAATTTTCTGTAAAAATAAACTAAATGTATCTCTTTCATGAGTATAATATTTTAATTCATTTCAACCTTATAGACACTGACTTTCCAAATTTAAATTTAATCTAAATTTCACATAAAATCAATATTCTGAGTTACCTAAATAAATTCTTGATACATTTACTACTTGAATTAATTTGAACTCTAAAAACGTTTCACCCTTAAAATTTCCATAAGCGTAAATTGTAAAAACCACCTAGCACATTTGCAATAAATAAATTTGCATAAAACACTTCGTTAAAACCTTGCAGATCTTCAATTAACCGCATAATAAATCGCAGTTTACTCAACTTCAACCTCTCAGAATCGTAAAGCATTCTCGTATAATAAACACGAAAAGAAAATGAGTATTTGCATGCGAGAAAAAATTGTAATAAATAACCGACGCGCAGGAGCCAGTTAGGCGTCGTATCGCGTGAAATCGTACGATGTGATTCGAGTTTCAGGTATTGATCCCGTGCACGCGAAACGTATTCAGAAGCGATCGAGGCTCTTATCGGGTGGATAGCGTTTCACGTGAATCACCTGCAGACGTTTAACGAGCTGCAGTAGCTAATTTGTCATACGGCCGTGGAGCGAGGTGACACCCGTTGAAGTAATAACACGCGTAGCTGCAGTTAACGCGCCCGTCAGCCCTGCGCTTTGAAACGAGAAATGCAATCAATCTCCCGTGAATCGGGGATCCTATGCGCCTTCTAAACATACTAATTTGCCGTGAATCCTGTCGAAGGTTCTTGCAAATCATGCCGCTCGAAAATGTCGTCGGCGAATTGTCTCAATCGCTGAACAGCGCATAGTCGGTTCGGTGCTCGCGAACATTACTTCCAAGTTCTACTTCCGCATACTGCGAAATATTCACAAGTTATGAAGAATATTCATAATTAACATCTATATTTGCCTTCAATATACAGATTCAGATCATAAATTTATCCGATGCTTATTGCGAGAACACACATATGTCCGAGAATATATAAGAAAATGCAAGATTAAGAGATAACCACTGCAGCATTTCACCATCATTTATAAATCCCTAACTGAAAGTACCAAATTTCATTGATAACTCGATCCTTGACCATGACGTTCCTACCAGATCGTCATGGTGGCCCAAACGGCGGTATCCAAGCACGCGATCCATCAACCGACTGAATAACCAAACTCCGTGTCATTTCTATTCCGGCTATGTTCCATTCGCGTATTGTTCACGTGTGAATCACTCTACTATTATCGGAACCGAGACGTAAAGGTCACTGACTTCTTCTAGAATCCTCTAGGAAAGTTTCCTTGCGTCTGGCGTCGAAATCGACAAAACGATCGATACCGTGTCGCCCTGCGATGATTCATCGACGGTTCCTTCAAGGACATCTTTATCGCACTTCGGTAGTTATCGGTGACAACCTCCGACGAAAACACCCTTCGCGAACGATGACTCGTCCTGTGGGCTCCGTATCGCAACGTCCGCTTTACTGGATACGGCTATATATTTAGCTTACGTATAAATGGAACCTATACCGAATTGACACTGATATCATCTCAACAAGGTATTTGGACTACTAATGACTCAGAAATCTCACTGAACTGCCAATGATAAGTTCACTAAGACGTATTTACACTAGGTTACAGATAACAAGTATACCTGTCAAACCATAACGTACAAGATCTATTAATCTAGCTCACTTATCTAGTATAAATGTGCTTAAGACTCATTTACATTCGGTAAATAAGTTAGGTAAAGATCAAACGAAATTTGAAAACCTGTCAAACGTCATAGGCTTTGTGGGTTTCATAAGCAAGGTCTAGCTACTAGTCTAGCTTTCTTGCCTATTGTAAATGTATCTTGAGACTCATTTACATTCAGCAAGTAAGCCAAGCAGGTGCCCAGACGAGTACCACAAGAGGAAGGCTAACCTGCTTGATCTTGTAGGCTATCTTCCTTGTGGGTTTCTTAACTGGGCGAGTCTGATCGGGTCTAGCTTACTTGTCGAATGTAAACTGAGACTCATTTACATGAGGCAAGTAATTCTAACTCCGCCCAAGTATCGGAGAATCGAGATAGGTCTGGCAAATTGTCGTTCTTACTTGCTGAAGTACTTGTCTGAATTACATGTCTAACATGGTATTAAATCACATTTACATTAGACAAGTAGCCAAAATACAGCGAAGAGAATGCTGGGTTTCATTCTTCTACCTCCTACTGAACGTTCTCGATAAATAGTTACTGCATTTCTTTCGTGTGGACATATGGTCTTTGCGAACATTATCTTTAAGAAATGATTGTAACAGACAAATAAGACCAGGTCAGATCACAAGTAGTAACAAGAGCAAATAGCAAGTGGTACAAGATAACCTGCGGACCTCATAGGATGTCTAATCCTCGAAAGGTACACAACGGAAATAAAATTTGAAAGTTGCATCACCTGTGTCATCAGTCGATCGGCTCCGGTGCCCTCCTCATCCTTGAAGATGATGTCGGCGTTGTAGTTGGGCACAAGGTCCCGGAACCTGGAGTCGTGACGTGATACGCGTCCCTCGCTGAGTCCGCTCGCCGGTAACGTGTTTTCACTGACGTTCGGCACATGTTGTTTGAACACCAAGGGCGTGAGTTTCCTCAAGATCGGTCGTCGTCCGCCGCCCCTGCCCGGTCCGCAGGCGAGGACGAGACCACTATTATCCAAGACCGGTAGCCAGAGACAGAGTATCAGTAGGAATACTTGAAGAAGCGAGGGTGTCGTTCCTCGCCTCCTGATCGCGCAATGATGGCTCGCCTGAAGGCCGCGACGACGATGATGATGGTGCACCATAATCACGTGGCTGTGACTCGAGGACGACCCTGGCTGCTGTGGTCACTGGTCGGTGATCCTCGTGCACGCGGACGTTGCTGAGCAGCCCGTCGTTGTCGAGCACGTCGACGGTACCACCGAGTTCTCACCACCACCACCACCGCCGCCGGCGATCCTCCTCCTCCACGGCTGACAGAACGACGATGACCTAGACGACGGCGACGCGGACGACGAGCTGCCTCTGCCTCTGCCGGTCCTTCTCCTCCTCTTGCCACTGACCTCACTCACGCTTAACCATAACCAGGGCATCACACACCCCCCCTTCACGCACTCTTATCACCGTTGCGAGCGTCGTAGCTGCGTCTAATCACCACCCGCGAGAGCTAGCTGATATATCGCCGTATCAATCGGGAGATCAGCACGAAACGACCGGCATCGAACGCCTACTTTATCACTGCGCGGAGCCTCCGAGGAGAATCCTCTCTCCTGTCCGTTATCCCTTCCTAGTTCGCGTCTTATCAGAGTCGTTAGGTCAGGATACAGATACGGACTAGGGTTCGCCGAGGTGTTTCCGTACGATCTCACGCTACCGATTCGTGCATGCTTAACAACGGACCATCACTGGAAACCATTAACGGCGAATAACCGAACCGTCGACGCTTCACCCACGTCCAAAATCGTGATTCACCGATCGCGCGTTCTCCAAAGATCCGTAGAACCGGCGTAGTCGGCGAACTTCGGACCGTGCGTATGATCGACTGTTTTCGTGAGGTACACCCGATCGACCTGATCTCACTTGACTGAACTCGATATGCGAGCACCAGTCCGGAAGCTCTGTGGCGCACGTTTTCCGGACGAGTAAGTGGTGGGAAATGCGGGATGGGTTTCGGTGGGTACTCCGCGTTGTTCCTTTGGCCTGGTCGGGGTCCAGGGTGCCCCTCTTCCTGCCCCCA